TGATATGTCATTTGTATGTAATGTAGGCCTAGTTCTAGGCCAGGCCTAGTTCTCCGCTTTTGATTTTTCTATTTTGATTTTATTTTTTTTTAGAAGGCCCTTCATTAGCCTAACCATAGGCATTTATTGAAAATTATTTAATATATATTGTTTATCATTAAATTTTAGACCAAAGATGGACCATAGTGAAAAATCCCTTATGGAAGTTGTGCAGAGATTCAAAATATTGTATGAAAGAAGGGCTGCCAACTACAAAAATAAGAGAACCATGAAAAAAAATGCTCTAGAAAAAGAGGCAGACGAGTTCAACTACATGAAGGTAAAATGCAGGGGAGAGGCAGCCTGGACCGGAGATCTTGTAGAACGGGCATATAAAAATGTGCGTACTCGCTTTTCGAGGTAAGACGATTTCTCATACATAATCTTTCTTAAAGACAATCAAAATTTTGTTGTGTTTCCCCCTTTAAGCCTAGTAAAATTTTGTAATGCAAAATTCTAATTCAATAATATACTCTCCCCTATTTGAATAATTGGTGATCCGCTACAGTAGCGGATCACCTCTTGTTATTGTCAGGATCATTTTTTTTTTTTGGTGATCCGCTAACGTTAGCGGATCACCTCTTGTTATTGTACTGGATCAACTTTTTTATTCTTCTTTCTTTCTCCCCTTTTCTGTTCGCACAATATCTCAAAAAATGCCACGAGTTACGCACAATCGCTGTCAGCGAACATTTGGCTTGGTCTGGAATAGTCATGGTAAGCTTTTCAACGCGCTCAGTCATGCGTGACGTCATCTACGCGCAATTTTCCATTTTTACATAATCGATCATATCAGCCTAACCAATTGCCATTTTGAAACCGTATTAAGTGAGCATTAACTTCGGGTAATATTGAATGTACTGTATCCTGATTTTACGAGTGCGCTTCATTACGCGCGCGTACGCGAGTGTCAAATTTTTAAAATGCTCAAAATCACTTTTTGACTAAATTAGAGCACGTTTCAGGCCATTTTGAGCATTTCAAATTTTTTTGAAATTTTCCACTACGCGCGCGCATTTTTACGCGCGCAGCTCGTACGGAAGCTAGACATTATGTTTTTTCACATAGTTTGTGTTCCTGACATTGTTTTCACAAATTTCCATTCTTTTTGGGCATCTTATGGCCAATAGCAATGTCGTACGTGCGCATCAAATATAGGTATCTTTCAGGGCTAGAAATTTACTTTTTCAGCCACTAGCAACCTATTGCTAAAATGTGCTAGTTGTTAAAAATGTAACTAGCAAAATGAGCTTCTCAACTAGTAAAATATATTGATACCAACTCAACATATTATTTTCGGAAAATAAATTGTATGAAAATAACTGATATACTTCTATAAATTTGTGTGTTAAATGTTTTAATATAATATTTTCTGTTATGGTGAGTGTAGTACAATAAATATCACAAAGAAATAGCCAAGTGAGTATAAAAAATTGATTTCTATACCTTGTACATTTATTCACTTCAGTGTCAGAAAATTTTTAATATGAAGAAAAAAAATCATGATACAAAATAAAAATTTAATATACTTAATTTATTTTTTAAAATAAGTTAAGTTTATCATTCATTTAATTTTTATTTTGTATCTGTGATTTTGTTTTCATATTAAATATGTACTGCTTATTGGAATTTTTAAAAATAATATAATTATAAATAAAAATTATTTTATACTAATTTTATATCATATTATTTTGAAAATTTACAAAAATATACTTGTTTAGTGTCACACCCTCAGAAATATTCAGGG